GGACCACAGGCGCCTGCCACAACACCCGGCTATTTTTTGGTTGCAGCCGTCATGTTGTTTTGGCGGGTCGGGGCTGGGGATTCGAACCTGCCACCCTAGGTGTATGTGGCTGGCGCCCTAGCTGGCTGAGCTATAGGCGCCGAGCCGACAGTGATTTTTTTATAAATACTTTCTTGGTGGCTAATATGGAGTCAGCACAGAATTGAATGGTGTGACCCATAGACAGCTTAAGTTCAGGTTGCTACCAATGTGGGTAAGTTCCCAGAATTTTGAGGTCAGCTCCATGGAGAATACCTAAAATGGACTTAGGGCCATCTCGTAGCCTTGGGTTAACCCAGGATCCAGGGCCAAGCCCCGTGCTGGCAGAACTTAGTCTGGACTCCCTGGGATGCAGGGTCGTGGGTAGCACAGACTGCTTGTGTGTGGCTTGTCCCAGAACAGTGAGAAAGAAGATAAAGACACATTTAGACATTATAGCATGATGTGAGAAGTGCCACCCACAGTGCCACCCCTCTGTCCCTTTATGGAAACTGCCTTTTCACTGTGGGACGTTTTTGTTTGTTTTGTTTTTTGTTTTTGTTTTTTTCCAAACAGAGTTTCACTCTGTCTCCCTGAGTAGAGTAGTGTGTTATCATCATAGCTCACAGCAACTTTGAACCCCTGGGCTCAAGCCATCCTCCTGCCTCAGACGCGCAAATAGCTGGGACTACAGGTGCCTGCCAAGCCCAGTTTTGTTTTTTGTTTTTTGTTTTTTTTTTTTTGAGACAGGCTCACTGTCTTTCTCCCAGGCTGGAGAGCAGTGGTGTAACCACAGCTCCCTGCAGCCTCCAACTTCTGTGTTAAAGCAATCCTCCTGCCTGATATTCCTGAGTAGCTGGGACCATAGCTGTGGCACTGGCTTGAGCCTCTCTGTGGTCTCACAAGGTGCCACTTGCTTTTCTCTGCTGCAGTATATTCCGGAGGCCGTACTACCTGGCGCACTTTCTCCCTTCCCTGCTCACGCCTCGAGTGGTCAGTATGTGTCTCCGTGAGTTTATGACCAGAGAACAGGGACATCCCTCACCACCGTCTCACTGGGCTCTCTTTCTGCACACAGCTCCCAAAAGTCCCTGACTCCCGGGCAGCTTTTATAGAGTCCCTGAAGAGGTATGTATGGCAGATAGCTCAGACAAGGGCTACTCTGTTTCCAGTGGTTTTTGATACTGCTAGGATTGTGTTTCTTTTGTAGAGAAATTTGTTTTATCACTAATGTGTTTTACTTATAAAATAATGACTCTAAAATTGTTATGAATTATTATTTTTTTAATTTCTTTTTTTTTATTTTGAGACAGAGCCTCAAGCTGTCACCTGGGGTAGAGTGATATGGCATCACAGCTCAGCAACCTCCTACTCCTGGGCTTAAGCGATTCTCTTGCCTCTGCCTCCCAAGTAGCTGGGAGTACAGGCGCCCACCACAACACCCAGCTATTTTTTGGCTGTAGTTGTCATTGTTGTTTGGCAGGCCTGGGCTGGGTTCAAACCTGCCAGCTCTGGTGTATATGGCTGGCGCCCTAGCCGCTGAGCTATAGGCACTGAGCCCTAAATTCAGTTTTTAGATTTGGCAATTATCAAAAATTGAATGAAAAAATAAAAATAATTTATAATCCCTTTGCCCGGTGGTGTCTTATGGTCTAATCTTCTGGATATTGATCTCTGAATCTTATTCATATTATGACAGAGTTCCATGTTCCATATATGCACATATGTATGATTTTTTCCCCTAGAAACCGTACTCTGCATAACACATAATACTTTGTGATTTATTTAAACTTAACATACTTTTGCTATTATAATAGTTTTTGGAATTGTAAATTTTAGAGTTTATTTGAGTTATAGTTGACCTGATTTTGTTGTTTTCTGATCCAGAGCAGATAAAATCCCTCCATCTCTGTACTCTGTCTACTGCCGGGCCTGCTCTGCTGCTGAAGAGAAGACTCCAGAAAGTGAGGCTCCAGGCTGTGGATCCACTGACTGTGGGCTTCTGTCCTTGCAAGCCTGTGCCATGAGCTTGTGTGTGAGGTCTCACTGGCTCAGGCCAAAGAGCAGCCCCAACACCATAGGCCAGGTGCTGCACTGTCAGGCTGGCGTCCCACAGGCTCCTTTCTAGCCAGCCCCAAGGAACTTCCTAAGTTAGCACTTTCTTTTTTTTTTTT